CAATGTTTTTAATCATACTGTACTGCTTATAGTTTTAGAATATAAAGTTTTCATCAATATTTTAAAGAATGACAAAATGAACAATGAGGACATCATGAACAATTGTAACTTATTATAAATGCTTGTGCTCTGTGGTTTTGAGGTTAGTGAAATACCTTCACAGTCTAATCCTTGATGTTTGCCAGGGTTCGAACTCCAGTGGTGGGTGGTGCAGAGAACGATCATTCTCATGGCTTTCTGACAAGTTATATGAGAGTCGCCACATGGAATAGATTTGAGCCTTACCACGTAATATTCCCATACTAGCAGTGGATATATCACAGTCAACCTTCACTGTGGAGAAGGCACAATGTCTTTTCAATAAATGCTTGCACATCAAAACAAAGCTAGTCATATAGCTGTGGCACTGATAATTGCACTTATTGTTACAGCAGTTTACTGAGTGTGAAATACTTTCACTGTACATCAAACTTTGGCCGAAATACTGGCAATTCTAAAAACAATTTCTCTACAAAGCCCTATGTTGTAGGCTTCATAGTCAGATGTACAAGCACAGATTAATGTATTCATAAATGAACTATATTATATAAGATACAAAAATCACCATACATTTATCCCACACCAGGACACGCATAGTGGTGCCCCAGGACACACTGGTACCCCAGGACATGAGATTGTGCACCAGGACACACACATGAAGTTGCACCAGGACACACAAAGTGATGTACCAGGACACACAGTAGTGCCCCAGGACATGTGACTGTGCCCCAGGACACGTTACTGTGCACCAGGACACACATAGTGATGTACCAGGACATGTGATGGTGCACCAGGACCAGGGCATAAACTGGTCAAGCCTATCTACACCTCTGTGGACATCCTAGAAACAGGTTTCCAACCAGGAGTCTGGCCACTGTAAAAAGGATCAATCTTCCATTTAAAGTAGGCGGGCACTGCTTGAGAGGCAAGGAACCAATAGTCTGCACCCAAATAAGCCACACCTGTAAAATGGAGTTGCATAAGCCACACCTGTAAAATGGAGTTGCATGCAATACACAAGTCCTGAAACAAGGCCAAGTCCAGAAGTAGACGACACCATCCAGAAGTGGATGACACCATCCAGAAGTGGATGACACCATCCAGAAGTGGATGACACCATCCAGAAGTGGATGACACCATCCAGAAGTGGATGACACCATCCAGAAGTAGACGACACCATCCAGAAGTGGATGACACCATCCAGAAGTAGACGACACCATCCAGAAGTGGATGACACCATCCAGAAGTAGACGACACCAACCAGGACTTTCCGTTAGAGTTTATAACTGCTGAATGCTAAAAAGATACAGACAGTGACGAAACACTGACAAAATTGTGCAGCCTTTTTGTAACAACATTATAGCAGATAAAGGCCCAACATGACCACTACATCCAACAATAGCTCTTCACATCTTTGATAAATATGAAATCATTACTAATGTAAGATTCTAGAAAATTCTATCACAAAATTTGTAAACCTTGATTGAAACTACTCAGTTCCACTATAATTCTCAATGCCAATGTTTGTGCCAGGTACCTGTGGAGCACTATCTCTAATCCTTTCCATTTAATAATGGGGTTCTCTGTGGTCAAGCCGTTCGCCTCATACTCTGAAAATCTTGGGTTCATTTCACTCCAGGATTGCAATTTTTAAGGCGACCCATGGGGGTAATTCCTGGAGCTACAGAGTTCATGCTTTGTGCAATGCCCTCAGCAAGCAGCTAGTTATTCTGCAGAGAGAGGCAAGTCATGGGATAACCCTAGGTAATAAAATCACTCCTCTCGACTTTGATTCTCATTTAATGAAATTTGACAATAATGGCATACTCACTAAGATCAGTAGCCACAACCTCAAAATACTAACCTATCAACATCAGAAACAATACAAAGCATCTGTACCACTTTACGGCAGACACAAGCCCCACATGATCATTACAACCCAACAATAACCGATCACAACTTAACAAATAGAAATCTCCATGAAATCAATCCTCCCAACATAAAATTATATACATCTATCACAAAATCTTGTAAATCTCGACTTACTACACTGCATAGGCCAGGATTAGCCAACATGTCAACCGCGGACCAGTAGTCGATCATTAAACCGGTGGAAGTAGCCTGTGTCTTCTCCTCTGGCTCTGTTATCACCGTATCTGTATAACACTGCTGTCTGTACACAAGCGCTTGCCTGGCTTGAAACACAAAAATACACCCGCGTGTGTATACTCAGTGATTCAATGAGTATGATCCGGAGGGTTCAGGCAGGTTCAGTGCGAAGACAATGGCTTGAATCATTACAGAAGTCCACTGTTCGTGGAGTCACCTTTATTTTTGTTCCGGGACACGCAGGCGTCGATGGAAATGAAAGAGCTGACAGGTTGGCTGGATCCGCTATCACTACCGACGGTCAGCCTATGGATCATGCTGATATTATCAATGCCCTCAGAGAAATGGGAAGAATAGAGGACTTTGGTGGCAGTGAATCCACATCACTCGCCAGAATGGCAGACTTGGGAATTAAGATCGGCACAGCAAAAAACGAGACGCACACCAGCTACGCCAGAAGACTTGTTAATCAACATAGAACTGGTACTATTAGCCATCGGACGTTGGGGTTCATACTGAGGGGAGGATCTGAGCACCTATGGACATGTCCGGAGTGCAATGAGGATAACCCAACTAACTAACTAACTAACTGCTGTCTGTTTCATATTTTCTATATCATGTCTCCAACCTGAGAGGTAAGGGGGAGCACACAGGCAGGTTTCAAGAGGGTTTAAACAATTCTAAAAGTAAGTTAATTTGTACTTGTAATAATCCATTATACTTACATTTTGTTGAATTTAATTCTAAATTTTAAAACTATTTATTAAACAAAACGACAAGGACATTTTTGTTTTCATGAGGAGTTTGTACATCTACCATTTAAAATCTAATTAATATGATAACACATGCATTCAATTATAAATTAAGAACATATTCTGACCACAACATATCTCCATACTTTATATTCTCTTGTTTGTGATGAGGTGCTGTGCATGGTCTTCACGATTACATGGTGGCAAGCAGAAAGTCCGTGCAACAAGGGACAGCACGAGATACTTGTGCCTAGTCGAGGAAGCGAGGGAAAGCCCGAGCTAGCCTCGTGGTCAGTCGATCATGAGAAGTCAGAGTAGACGGTTGTAGTATTGGAAGACGTAGTCTTTATGTTGCGCAAATGTTTAATGTTTGAATATGTCGCGAGTGCTAAAGTGTAAATAATGTTTGAATATGTGAAATAAATGGACGAGAATAAACTGACAGAATGTACCAAGAAGACGAGCAGCGTTTGTGTTGTCAACCCTAGACGTTAAAGTTGGTGTAAATCTAGGTTCATGTCAAGTCTACGTCAAGGTTCAGTTCAAGCAGACCACGATTCATTCTAGGTTGAATCACGAGTCATTCCAAGTGAAGCTTCGAGTTATTACAAGTCTACCTCTTTGACTTATTACAAGTGGGGGCTCGTCCGGGAGGAAATTAGAAACCACGCGGACCATAAGCATAGGAAAACATTTTTGTTTCTTCCAAGGTAAGATAAACATGCGGAAAACAGTGTACTTCACCCGAGCAGAGCCTATAATTAACACAGCAAGCGCCGACAGGTCAGCTACCGACCAATGAAAACCGGTGTGTCATCTACGCCCTGCCACACACCGTATCACCAAGTTTTGCGGATTCAGGAAGTTTCATGTTTACCAAAGGTACATATCGTAAATATTATAAATCAAGTTTGTGTCGACCTGTTGGAGCGAGAGGACGAGCGATTGAATGTACGAATGTCTACGTGAGTGCCTGAGGAGAAAGGAGACCTGCCGACGAAATGTTAAGCTGAGATCGACCATGCCAGCGTGTGAGATGTCCAAACGTCAGTGATGAATCCATGGGACCCATCGTTGCTTGAATGCCTGCAGAAGACTATTCGTTAAAGGCTGCGTGAGTTTGTGTACGAAAGCGGTTCAATTAGACATCGACTGGACGATTCTCTTTTGTCGTGAGTTTTAATACGTCAATAAAGTAATGTCTCGTAAGCTCACATCGGTGTCGGCTTGTGCCAGGTGTGTAAAGTGAAGCGTGTCAGAATATCATCCACCACACACGCATGAACACCGCCTAGACAACGAGTAGAAATACAAACCCATTCATTACATGTTGCAGAATCTATTGTACTCTTTTAAATTAAATTGTGTTGCAGTGGCATAGGGGACTTGCTGTATGCTCAGAAAAAAAAAAAGGGGGGGGGGGAGGGGGAGGGGGAGGAGATGTGATCTGAAAAAGGCTAGAGACTACCAGACTATATTGAACATTTTTATTGTTTGATTCCCTCTATTTCCCTGTGTGGATTTTGAGGCTGAAAATGAACAGACTATTTTGCCCTTCAATGAGTCATTAAAGGCAACTAATTAGGGGTGCTTCCTTTGAAATCGGTATCTGCCTGACAGCTGAGGAACCAAAAGTCTGCACACAAACAAGCCGGATCTGTAAAACAGAAGTGCATGCAAAACTTTAAAGATCTGAGACAAGACCAAAGTCCAGAAGTGGATAAACAATCAAAATTTTACGCTGGAGTTAGCAGCCAGTGAACGATAAGAAGAAGGAGGAGACTCTATACAGTCTATAAAGTAGACAAACAACCTCTATACAGTCTATAAAATAGAGAAACAGTTAAATGAAAACTAGACTGTCAGAGATTTCTGAAATAAAAAGTAGCTCTCAAACAAAAAAGCTGGCCATCACTGGCTTACACAATGGCTTAATTATGGCAGGCATCACAAGGAGCTCTCCCTAGCTAATCACCCTCCCCCCCCCCCCCCTTTTTTTTAAAAATGACACTTTAAAATAATGGCCTAAATTACATGTGTTTATTTTCACAATCACTGACTTATGACCCCGCAAAAGTTGTGTGCTACACCACACCTTAACTATAAGTCAAACTGTTTCTCCACTCGGTCTGAAATCATTTCTCCGATGGCAAGTGAGGAAGTGGCACCTGGGGAAGGAGCATTGCGGACGTGCAGCAATCGCTTCCCTAGCTCACCTGTGCCACTGTCAAAGATAAAATCATCCACAAGATTGCCATCTCGATCCAAAGCTTGTGCTCGAACTCCTGATGGACCCCTGCGGACAAAGTTAAATGTGTGTTCTTTTTTTGTGTGTCTGGTTAATACATGCCATTTATACTTTGTTAAATTACACATTGTGTTTTATTTAAATGTTAGTTACATATCCTTCACAGGACTCTGCAAAACCAACCCTAGCATTTACTGTAAACTGTGTGGTTTTACTGACAATTTAACCTTCAGTAGGTTCTTATGGCTTTCTGAATTGTACAGTACTTATACTGTTGTCAAAATCGACACAAAGCGGTCTGTTACCAAACTGTCTGCAGTTGAATACATTACTGCATGGCTAAATATGACCATGGGACACCTGCCAGTCAGCCCTAAGTTCTTTAGTTTGATTCAGCCCCTGGCATCTTCTTGTTGCTCTTAATCAAGCCTGCCAACTGTCACTATGTTTTCAAGTAATATTTATCCTCATAACATGCCCACAAATTCTTTACTATTAGCATGTTCTTCTTTGTCTTCTTTGCGTTCGGTTTTGTATGCTCAGATGAGACCATCAGGTGGGTTGCTTCTATGAACTCGCAGAGAAGCATTTCCTTCAAGGCTCCCCACAGCTTGCTCTGCACACTTTGCTCTTGAAGATAGGTTGTTTTTTTTAAGAAGTTGTAGGTAGAGTGGGCAGGTCTGTAGAATGTGCTCAGATGTCTGTAGTCCTGTTTGACAGGCACACTGTCTGTCAGTTAGTTGTGTATCCTTTACAGGATGTTGCAGAACCAACCCCAGCAAATTTTGGCTGTTGTGGTTTTTCTAGGCAAATTTTACATTCAGTATTTTGCCATTGCTTTCTGAACAGTCAGCTTTTGGTACCGCTGTCAAAACCAACGCAAGACAAAATCGGCCACAGCTGTGATAAAACCCGGCACACCAGGATTACGAAGCGCATTCGCAACGCCTGAGCCACAGAAGACAATGTGGGGACTGTACAGTCTTTATTTTATGCATGAGGTAGTTAAGCTTGAAGTGTCCTGTTTGTAGATGGAAAATTGTTGTATGTTGCTTTCTGTTTGGTCTGCTGATGGGGTCTAATGACAATGAATGGGTGCGTTGTTTCTCCTTTGTTTCATTATTTGCAAGTCTGTCTGCTGACTCATTTCCTGGTTTGCCGCAGTGAGCAAGAATCCACCGAAGAACTATTTGATTGTTTTCTGAAAGTCTATTTAACTGGCATGTCGGTTCTCTCTCCATGTTGTCTCGTGGATCCCTATGAGTCGCCTGGAGGACTGACATGCAATCACAAGGGAAAACAGTTTTGCTGTGTTCTAATTTTTCTTTCCTCAAGCACTTTGGCTGCATCAATAATTGCTTGCCGCTCTGCTCTGAAATTGTTGGGTCTTTTGGAAGAGCATGACGTTTCCACTGTGGTCCCATCTTGCGACAGGATGACCAATCCAGCTCCTCCGTTTTTTCTGCTACCTCCAATGAACTATCGGCGTGTGCCCATTCAAGTTTTGGGTAAGAATTGCAGACATGTTCAAGGGTCTTTGCCTGCAGTACTAGGTCACATTCTTCAGCCTTTCTGTTTATGCCTGGAATTTTACTCCCAAATATGCGGGGGGGGGTTTCTTTTTTGGAATGATGTTGCCTTCTACGTACAGATCAACTTGTTTTATCTTTGTGGAAAGATAGAAGAGAGTTGAGACCGTTTTTGTCTGGTTTATTGTGACTCCCCAAGAGTCTGTCCATTTCTGAACTGTTTTAATAGCTTTCTGAATTCTTGTTTTAGTTGTTTCTATATGTTCAGTTTGGGTCCATATGGCCAGGTCATTTGCATGTAGGGCCTTGGAATGTGGTATGTATCTGACATGCACACATGCAAGCATAAGAATATGTATACATATAAGTGTGTATATATATATATATATATATATATAAATATATATATATATATATATATATATATATATATATATATATATATATATATATATATATATATATATATATATATATATATATATATATATATATATATATATATATATATATATATATATATATATATATATATATATATATATATATATATATATATATATATATTTATATATATATATATTTCTCTTTCCTTCATGTGCATATTTTAAATATATATATATATATATATATATGCACACACACACACACACATACAGGCAAATAATTAGTGTGGTTACACTTCCTATGTAACCTACAAGTCCCTACCTGGTAACGTCACTAAACTGGAGTGAAGGCACAAATTTCTGAAGCTGCTTCACTTGAGCTCGAATGTAAATCCCTTTATACATTTCCATAATACCGTAGCCCAAGTTCTTATATGCCAGCTTGCGCAACCCTCTGAAACATAGAATGTTTAATTACAGCAAAATCAAGGAATCTGGCTAACATTTTCTTAACTACTTCTCACTGGTATGTTTATTCTTGGCCCTACTATGGGAAAAACAAGAATAGACCCACTGCCTACCCAAAAGCATGTCGAAAGAGTCGACTAATTGGAAGCTTCCTTCAAAGTCGGAGTGCATTTGCCTGAGAGGCAAGGAACCAACAGTCTACATACAGATCTGTGCACACCCAACACTCAGGTTCTGGAACAGGACTGCAGCCCAGAAATGGACGAATAACCATAACTTTCCGCCAGAGTTCACAACCGGTGAACGCGAAGAAGAAGAATTCCTCTTTTGCTACTTCGGATGTCGAAGGAGAAATAAGGTTCTACTTCTTGCTCTTCTGGCCACCTTGGCCACAGATACATCGTGCTGTTGTAGTTTCTTTGATGTTATATTTCCCTTTTGTTGTTGGTCCATGTTGTGCTCATCAGGCTTCTTCCTTTTTAGTGAATGCCTTGTATAATATGGCTCCGTAAGACATTCTCTCTAAAGGGCAAACCATTTATTTGCTGTTTTTTGTATGTAATTTACAATTGGTTCTATGTTGATTTCTTTCCTCTTATGTCTTCATTCCTGATTATATCTCGTCTGGTTGCTCCTGCAACCCTTTGTAGAAGAGTTTACTGACTACTCTATACATTTTATACATTATTTATTTTGGTTCCATTCTTCTATTGCCCTGATCTATTCCATCTCAGCTTTTTTGTAAAAAAAATTTTTGTCTTATAGTCCTGTAATTTTCAATCAATCAGATGTCATCAGCAATCAAGGTGGGATACACTGAATCTCCAACATGTTCTTTCACCCTGAAAATACTCTCTGAAACTGATGTTCGTCAGTCTTGATGTTATTCTCCCACTCATATCAATGTCTACCTCTTGCGCGATTGCCTTCAATTTCTCCCTCCCATATGGTTTTCATAAGAGTGTATGTCTCTTAATAAGGCCAAGATACTTCTCTCTTTTTATTTTTCTTAAATTTCATTTAGCAACTCTCTTTTCATTCCAGTTCTTTTCAGAATCTCTGAATTTTTTGTTTTTGTTTCTATGAAAGTGGCATGACGATTCTGGACAGAGGCTTGAGAAAAAGTTAAGACTCCTGCCACACGTCCTTGTTCTGCACTACAGATAATGGTTTATATTGGCCTAAACCAAGCTGGCAGGGGATCAGCTTAGGTTAAAATGTCTGTCCTTCGAGTGTCCTACTGCATGACAGCAAAGGTTCAATGCCCTGATATCCTTCTTCTTCATGTTCACCAGCTGTAAACTCCTGTGGAAAGTTCTGGTTGTTCATCCACCTCTAGACTTTAGTCTTGTTCCAGAACCTGAGTATTGCATGCACATCCACTTCACAGATCTGAATCACTTTATGCAGACTGCTGGTTCCTTGCCTCTCCGGCAGATGCACTCTGACTCTGAAAGAATGCCCCAGTTAGTTGACTTCTAATAACATACTTGGGGAGGTAGGGGGTCTTTCTTGTTCTCCCCCACAACGGGCCCCAGTACCCACACAGAGAAAATACCCAGATATACACAGCTTTCAGTTGATTCTTCCATTCTGTTTAAAAGGACATAACAGACAGCATCAATTACCTGAAGCTGAGAGCATCATACAGGTCAGACAAGCTGACCTGAGTGTAACCATAACCTTCCCGTTTGAATGCCAGCACAGCATTGGGTCCCAGCCAAACACTGCCATCCATTCGAGGGGTAAAATGCACACCAAGGAATGGAAATCTGGGATCTGGTACCTGGAGACAAAAATCATAATTATTTCTTCTTCATCAGCATTCCGAACCATTGCACATTTTTGCTGCAGATATAACCCAATACCATTCATCTCTGTGACTAGTCTTTTTTTTTTTTCTTTGTTATCTGCCAATCTTTTTACAATCATAACATCTTCTTCTTTCTTCTTTAGGTTCACCGGCAGTTAACTCCAGCAGAAAGTTCTGGTTGATCATCCACTTCTGGACTCTAGTCCTGTCCCAGAACCTGAGTGCTGCATGCACATCCGTATCACAGGTCTGACTCATCTGCATGCAGACTGTTGCTTTCTTGCTTCTCAAGCAGATGTACTGCGACTTCAGTAATCCAAGATTCACTGCTAAAGATATTACCCATATCAATTCACCTTTTTGACTGACCTTCTCTTTCCATTTGGGGACTCTACGTACTTGAAGTTCATTTTGTATATTATCTCTCCACCCTCTTCTAGATCTACCCTGTGGCCTAGTCCCAGTCAGTTCTCTTATGCACAGTTTCAACTCTCTCTCTCTGTTCTATGTCATTCTTTCTAATCATAATTATTTATTTATATGTTTTTTCTTCTTCTTATTGTGTTTACCCTTAAAAGGATGGCTGGCACAGTGTGCGTCCTTACCTGCACAGGCCTGCCTGTTACACCTGGCTGGTGGAGCCATTACAGGTGCCCTAACTGTAACTTCTCTGGGGGTGGAAACGGGGTACCTGGGATCTACCTTGTTGGTCTGCTAGCCAGACTGAGATTTTGTTTGAAGTTTTGAACAACGGATCAACATCATGACACAAGCGTAGTAACCCATAAGTGCTCCGTTCTTTTTCTAACTAAAGTCTGAGTCCCAAGAAGCTCAGCACAGTGCACAAGCTCTGTAGCACCGGCGAGGATCCTGAAATACTTTGGGTAGATTTTTAAATCTAAATTTCGCCCAGGCAGGGCCGTTAGTCTACTCTTTTTGATTTCCAACTGCCAAGGGATTTTTTTACGAGCGTAACAATGCACACAGGCGTCTGATGTCACAACCTAGAGATCAGGGGAAATTACTAGAAGTCCACGTGAAAAAAATCATAGCCCTTACCCGAGACTGAACCCGGAACCTCTAGCACTCGAGGCAGACACCATACCTTAGCGCCCTTTGTAATCTCAGCATGGTATGGCAAACCTGTAAGTAGCATGCCAGAGGGGACAAACTGATCGATAGATCAACTGCATTAGGTTTTCAGCTAGGTAGCAATATCTGTACTTTTTTGGGCCTAACAAATCAGATTTCGGCAAACCCTACATCAGTCACCTTTTACAACAGGCCAGTTAGGGCGGCATATTCTTTTTTTTCCCTCTAAACAATGGGGTCCTGTAACAAACACAGGAAGGAAATCAATTCAACAGTAGAAAATACCAGACAACCAAGCCATACAGGATAAAGCTGGCCCAATGAAGCTGATGCCCTCAATTTATACATTTTAAAGGACTTTTTTGTTTGTATCATGTGTTTTTATGTAATTACATCTAATGATGAATATAACGTAACAACATCATGCAGTAAGTTACACTGCAATGTTTTCAAGCCAATGGTTCTGTATGTCTAATTCTGACAAGGTTTACTGTCCCTTTGACTGAAAGCTGGAGAATCACTAAGACACAGAATGAACGCTAAATGAATATCAAAACAAACGTTTGAGGAACATGTTGAATTCAAAAGGAATAAAGAATTAAGAGAAAGACTTGGCAACCACTGATAACAACGGTTATAAGACAAATAAGATGGCACTATATTGAAAACATCCTGAGAAGAAATGAGCAGAGAATAACCAAACAGGCCCTACAATGGAAAATAACTGTAGTGAGAAATCAAAGACACCCCCCCCCCCCCCCACACACACACACACACACACAAAACAGCAACAACACTAAACTTATGCTGATGAGAGAGGGCAACGGTGCTGAACTGAATTCTATCCATGATTTCAAAAAGATTGCATGAGACAGAACAGAATGTAAGAATGGACTGCAAGCCCTATGTGAAACAACAGGACAATAAATGAATGAATGAATGAATATCTGAATCTTTGACTATCCCTGGTCTACCTACAAGGCTGCAGGTTTGTCTCTGTATGTGCCCATCCCTTGACATTTCCAACATGAAAGAACTACTGATTTGTGACTTTTCTTATTTCTGTCTTTAGTATTACGTCTGATGACTGTCGAGGTAGTGTAATGGCTAGATGCTCACCTACCAGCCCAATGGTCTAGAGTTCAAATCCCCATTAGGGTGGATTTTTACGTCAAAACTGACCTTGTCTCCCAGACTAAAATGGTTGCAGGTAATGTTATGGGGGGTAAAGGCAGCGCCTGCACTAGGATGATCACATCAGTCACTGAGTGTTGTCTGGATTCTAAAAATGTAGAACTAGCACTATATGTTCGATGCGCCAAAGGTGAGGTGGAAAGGGTCCTTTACTTTTCCTTTATGTATTACTGATGACTTTAGTGCATTTGTCTTCTCATAACTCTCTAGTCCCAATTTTGACACCATATTTGCTAAACCGTCTGTTTTTCTTTCCATGTCATTGCTGTTTTTGTTTGTTAACTTAGTAAAACAATGTCAACTGCAAAGTCAAGATCCTCCAATTGTATGTTCTCCATTCAGCAGGATGATGATAATGATGATGCTGATAATGATGATGGGGACGATGAAAGGATACCGTTTAGGAACTAATCATCCTCTATTTTCAGCCCATGAAGTATGTCAATGTTTTTACACCCAAACTTACTGGATAAATATTTCCATTAACTAGATTGCTCTTCTCCTGCTTCAGCAACAAGTATTCCCCTCTGAAAGGAACAATCCTAGGCTCTCTGTTACAACCAGACTTTTCTGCCAGCCGGTCTGACTGCAGCCCACCACAGGTTACCACATAGCGGCAGTCGACCACTTGATTCTGAAAACATGGATGTGGAAGCTAGATAACAATACACAAGAAAAGCATGCTGAGGAAGGTCAGGACAGGCATGCTTCATGCAGAGTGGCATGCTTCACTGCTGAGGACACAGGTGAGGAGTACTGTCTGGATTTTTTCACCAGGAAACGCAGGTGTGTTGGGAAATGAGCAGGCGGACAGACTGGCTGGCTTTACACAACTTGGTGGAATACTGATACATGATAGGGCAGACGTGGTTAGTACCTTGTGGGAGAGCGTGTACAGTTTGGAGGAGCAGATGGATCACCACAGTCTGGTGAGATTGATGCGGGGGCAAGTGACGAGAGGTTCTGGCAGATGCTCGAGGCTCAGAGGAAAGGCAAAATGGACGTTTAATCAGAATGCTTCTGGCACCATTAGTATCGGAACTCTTCATTGGCTGCTGAAGATGGGGACGGAGCGCTTATGGGAATGCCCCTAGTGCTGTGATGTCAGTTCTTGAAACAACTCAACTGGTAGGTAGGTGTATCTGTATCAAAACCAGGTATGACATAAGAGGTGACTAAAGTAGCTAGGTGTTGAGACTGATGCCTCAGCTCAAAAGACAACCTGTAACTGGAAAATGCAACTAATCATGGACAAATCCACAAAAGCCTTGAGTAGTGTGTGTTAGTTAAGGGTCTCCGCAACACTGGAAGAGGAAAGGAAGAGGAAGATGAAGAAGAAGAAATTCTCATTTTTCACCACACTTTCAGTCCCAAGAAAGACATCATACTTTCACAGGTTCCTACCCAGAAGCTTAATAAATGCAAGATGCACCGATTTTATGTCTTTTTTACTACCCCTTGGGCCTCTGATGCTAGACTCCCTGGAACTGAAAGAGTTAAAATATATAATCAACACATGTATTTAGAAGCATGGACAGAGCAGATATCATCAACGCTATACCGCTGATAACGATGAATCTCTGATGCTAACATGATTGCGAGACATGAGAGTAAAGCATGGCGAAACACCTCTACGCCGCCTTTGAGGCCGAGATAGGAGACATTATAATCAACTTCTTGTGGGAAAAATTTGTAGAAGTATCTTAGAGTGGCTGCTGCATCGGAGGACTGAGCCCGCATAGAAATGCCCAATGTTCAGTGTTGTCGATTGTGATAACATAACGCACAAACACACTTATATATAGTAACTTTTTTTTTAAGCCAGTGGTATATCGAGCAGATGATTCTAGGCTCATATTTTTACAGACCAATTTGCACTCACAGGCCGCCTTTATTCTTTGAAGGACATAACCAGCTACCCATTTTAGGCTGGGTTTACCTGGGAGCCAAGGTCATTTGTGAAAAAATCTGCCTCAATGTGGATTTTTACCCTAGTCTCTCATTTTGTATGTGTGCCTTCATAGATGCAAGCTTGTACCTGTGTGATGGAAACCAAAATGGTCCAATACAGAGGTTCTGGAAAGGCTACAAATGAAAAAAGAATTGCTGAAAGAAATAAAAAAGAGACAATTGAAATACTTTGGCCACATTAAAAGACATAATAAACTTTTAAAAACCATACTCGAGGGAAAGGTTAAAGGCAAGACAGGAAGAGGTAGGCAGCAATATAAGTGGGAGGATAACATCAAGAGATGGACAGGCAGCAGTCTGAGAGAGTGTACAACCAGGACAAGAGACGGAGTGTGTTGGAGATCCATTGCAGCCAACCTTCATTGTGCAGATGGCACCTGATTGACTAACTGATTTATCCATGTGATAATCCTACAGATTAAAACATAATAAAATATTTATTTACTATCCTTGAAAACTGAGCTATGTAACAGGCACATTACCCATAAGCAAGAAAATCTGAGATGAAAATTAAAGCAGTACATCAGAAAGTTACCAAAAAAATACAACATAAGAAACACATACAATTGTTTACTAAGCCGATTCACAGTAATCCCCATTACTGAATTAGACATGAAGGAGACACATATTAAATTATATTTTCTGCTGAAGCAAATATTTTATGCAATTTAATACCAAATGTAATATCTCAAATCACAACGGAAATCAAAAGATCAAGTGTCATGCTAAAATAAGCAATATTTAAAAGAGGTTATTTGAAACATCTGAAATATTAATTAGTAGAAGGAAATACGTACAATGTACATATTATGTGTGCTTATTTAGCAAGTTTGTAAGTGTGTACATGTGCGTATCTCTCTCTCTCTCTCTCTCTCTCGTTCTCTCTCTTTCTTTCTTTCTTTCTTTCTTTCTTTCTTTCTTTCTTTCTTTCTTTCTTTCTTTCTTTCTTTCTTTCTTTCTTTCTTTCTTTCTTTCTTTCTTTCTTTCTTTCTTTCTTTCTTTCTTTCTTTCAGTCTCTTTGTTTTATTAAATACAAACCCACCAACACTGGACAACAGAATACTCTGAAAACTGAGGGTGCCACAGAATAACTGTTATAACGGTGAACAAGGCTTCTGGTATTTGGTCCTGCCGGATTCTCACCTTTAAGCCGCTGGGTGCTAGCTAATCTTTCAGAATACAATCACTGGAGGTAAAGTGTGTTTTAACATTTGTGTTTAATTTTTTTTCACTTTTTATACCCTTACCCCCATGGGACTGCAACGTACGCCAGAGTAGTACGTGGTGCAGCCGTTACAGATGCCTTAATTATATCTTCTTACAAGTTTCAACATTCAGAGCAGACTTTTTGAGTTATGGGGTTGCTGAACCCCATTTAGCAGCCCATAGGGAAAAGACATTCATCACTCTGTCAGTTTGTCACCATTGGGTAGTGAACTGATATATGACAAGGCAGATGTGGTCAAGGCCCTTTGGGAACAAGTAAAGAAGTCAGAAGAGAAACTAGATTATTGTGGCCTGGACAAAATGATGCACCTGGTTGTGACCAGAGGGTCTTTCGGGCTCACTACACTCAGAGGAAAGGCAAGACAGACATCTAACTAGATTTATGACTGGTACAATTAGTACTGAAACTCTACGCTGGCTGATGAAGATGGGGATGGATATGGGAATGCCCAGCGTGCTGTTATGTCAATTCTTAACTCAACTCAACTCAACTCTGTTTGTTTAAAGGTTTTTTTATTTTTTTATTATAACATTTCCTTTTTAATTAACAGTCTTATACAAGGTTGACATAAATTTATGGAGAAGAAGAATGTTAAGTGAAATCCTGCCTTCACCAATTCTAAAAATGCAAAGTGAGAATCACAGCGTCCATGACACTGCAATGATAATGTAAATGCCCAGCTCCATCAACAAGAAGTAAAAATACATCAGTTCCCTGGAAGGATACAAAAAGCTAACATACAATTTGTTTACTAAACTAAAGAGAAGAGAAACTGACAGATGCAAAATTGGTAAAATAATGACTAAACATTAGCTGCAGGAGAGTCTTACACACACAGCGGAGACAATTATTCTGACCAATACCAGCACCTTTGCTGCAGGAGAGTCTTACACACACAGCGGAGACAATTATTCTGACCAATACCAGCACCTTTGCTGCAGGAGAGTCTTACACACACAGCGGAGACAATTATTCTGACCAATACCAGCACCTTTGCTGATGAACTCTATGGAGATAATAAATTCCAACTGATAGCAGAGTTCTTTAAACAAGTACCACTTGATGTCTGAAGACATGAAAAGAAGACAGATTTTCAAGAAATTTAAGATTTTTTGCTAACAAGAAAACTGCCAAATCTATCAGATTAAGAAAGAGAAGAACAAGGACACTGTCAAATTCATGTGCACTGCAGCAGATACAAGTACACTCTGATGAATATAGGGTAGAGAAACTAAGGCAGCCACTGCCACCTGATCTAGCAGTCAAAAAACATGTAAGAGAAATTATTAAAAGAGAACCAGGTTATTAAATTATAATATAGCCATAGCAAAGGAAAACCAGGCAAAAGATGAAATACAGCATTTTTTTGTTTAAATTGTCTTTCTTGGCACCTTTCCAGATGATAGTGTTAAATATGTTTCCTCGAGAGAGCCATGCTCTATGTCTTGAAGGTTTCTGTCTCAAAACTGTTGTTATCAGTGTCTATTTAACTTACAATCTGCTAATGCTATTATAACTGTATGGGACCGAAAAATGGCGAGGAAGACAACTGGTCAACCCACTCCATGACCTAACATTTCCAAAGGTAATACATGTTATGGCACTACCTTTGCTTTTACAGACAAAGAACTGAGGCTGGAAGGTTTCCGGCTAATGGGGGGCTTTGGCTCACATAGCTGGATCGCATCAATCTGGTTAAGTACTCCCTCAAACTACAACTGGCCTGGCAAGTCGGTAGTGAATGAAATCTTGTTCGAGGAAACAATCACACGAGAACTAACACAAGGTAGTGCACCACAGACGTCCCTGTCACTTCAGACACAATGGAAGCAGTTCTAGAGGTTGACCATGTAAGCGATGGATAGATGGAATATCTGAGGCCATAAATACCAGCATCTACCTAGCACACAGCAAGGCCAGCAGCTGATGCCCCTTCAAAACCTGATGCTGCAAGGCAGAACAGGACTGGAGGAAGAGGAGGAGGAGGAGAAGAAGAAGAATAAGAGGACTGGAGGAAGAGGAGCAGGAGGAGGGGGAGAAGAAGAAGAAGAAGAAGAATTAAACTAAACTGTCTTCAACATGTGGAATCTTACCTGTTCATCTTCTCCATGGATTTTGACTTCATGATTGAGGCCGGATGTGCTACCCTCCGGACTCTCTGTGTTCACACTAAATTTGGTCACATTGAAATTTGTATAAATTGTTCCTCCCCGTTTCTCAAATTCTTTGCCATAATATTTGGTGACCAGACCCCAGTCAATAATGCCAGTATGAGGAGAGTGGATGGCCTTTAGACCCTGGAGAATTATAGGAAGAAATCTTGCATACTTAATATTATGATATAATATTGTAATAATTAACAAATAGGGTACTGTATGTGTAATACTAATGATATAATGCAACAGTGAACAAACAGTGTGTTGCATGATTAACGCTAATGACATAATGATGTACTGACCAGCAAACTGGTTACTGTGTATGTGTAAAACAAATGGGTCCTATTCACTTTTCCCGGCCCATCTACACAATTTCTCAGTCTGGTCTAGGTCAGAGGGATGTCAGGTTGTACTGTTTTCTTCGAAGAGTCTCTCGTGGGACCTAGGCTCAGGCTGTGGTTAGGGGAGTTTGGGTTAGGGCCACTTTTATATGTTCTAGGGCCATTTAAAGCTGTGTCATCATGTAGTATAGAATATGCGACATCGGCGCTGATGTAAAAGGAGTCAAGACCACGTGAAACCCCTATGAAATAGAACAGTCTGAGAAAGTATGAATGAAAGGTCAGCAAGTGTGCAGATGGGCCGGGAAATGTAAATAGAACCAACAAATGAAAACATGTTTTGCATAACGGAGCTCATCTTTTACAGACTATCCTGTTAGAAAGCTTGATCTGCTGTTACAGTAATGCAAACACATTTATATACCACTGACTTTTATTTCTGTAAGGGACACTTTTCTTAATAAAACTCAAGCTGAAAATTGTGAGCATAATTGGATGCACAGTGAGATATTACAAGGCATGATCAAAGAAAACCCTTCTAAATGGCTTTATTACAAATGTCTGAAAGATATACTGGTAGGTTCTCCTGCATTATGCCTTCTCATGACTGTATGTGAGTTTATTTAAGAAGCATTTTCAGCTTGAGAAGGAGTCAAAATTTGCAATGTCAACAACTGCTGCAATAATGTCACAGAATGTCTATCTCCTAGATGAAGTGGACAAGTAAATGTCCATTTTCAATGTCATGATGTGCATGTGGCATACAGTGCTTGCAGATATTTGTTTACAGACCAATTAGCAAGTTCAGGTTATCAAGACCCAAGAAGCAAAGAAATACTGACAGCATAGAAGATATGAACGTCAAGGAAAATTGGCTAGTAAACAGTAGCTAATGCCGAAACTGAAATATTTTGGCCATATCAAGCACCTTGACGGACTGGAAAGAATGATAGCAGAAGGCATGATACCAGGAAAGAAAGGCAGGGGCCTTGGGTGCGAAAGTGCACAAGGCAGAAGATCTGGCCAGAGACAGTTTATTTAATGTAGTCAGTGATGAGAGCGACATTCTGCAAAGGATCTGTTGATGAATTAGCACTAGGATCGCAATGTAGCAATATCATGGTGACTGGATTTACCCAATTTCATGTTGACTGGATTTACCCACTATCATGGTGACTGGATTTACCCAATATCATGGTGACTGGATTTACCCAATATCATGTTGACTGAATTTACCCAATATGATGCTGACTGGATTTACCCAATATCAGGCTGACTGGATTTACCCAATATCAGGCTGACTGGATTTACCCAATATCATGCTGACAGGATGAACTGATGTATGACAGGTTATATATTGTGAGGGTCCTTTGGGAGCAAGTGAACAGTATGGAGGTGCAGATAGATCATTACGGTCTAAGGAGAATGGCGCTGTGAGGAGTTACCAGGGGATTGACCTACGCTCAACACTCAGGGGAAGGATGAAACAGGTATACAATCAGATGGTGACCGGTACCATCAGAACTGGAACTCTTCGCTTGCTGCTGAAGATGGGGACTGAGCACTTATGGGAGTGTCCCGAGTGCTGTGATGTTGATTCTTAATTCAGCATGATGACTGGATTTACCCAATACCATGCTGACTGGATTTACCTCTAGTCTCACTTCCTGATTCTTGTTTTAGTATGAGCTGACCTGGAGGCCTGGGTCATATTTAAAAATGTGCCTTGATGGGGATTCCCATCCATGACAAACCAGATAACTGTGTTGGCCACTGCAATACTACTGACTTCCATTTTTGTTTACTTATCCAGACATTGATCTGAGGGAGGATGTTTGTGATTTCACTAGGCAATGTTACATTCAATAGTTTGCCATTGCTTTCTAAATGGATGAAATTTAAACTATTGTTCAAACCATTGCAAAGTGGTCTGCTGCCCAACTGCCTGTAGATGTAATCGAAACTGACGGCTAGGAATTATGCAGCACATTTGCAACATTTAAGCCACAGACACCAATTCATAAATAATTGAGGATTGGCTGGCTGAGTGGTTAGAATATTGGGCTTTCATGAGAGAGACCTCGGTACAAATTGTAGGTCAAGTGATTTAGGGGGAAGACAAAATCTGTCAGGGGTAAAAATACACATCCTAACAAGAACAGTTCATGGTGAATGCAGTAGCCATACAGCCCTAAAATCCTCAGACTGATGCTAGCCGCATTTTTATAAACCAACCAGCACTCAGTGGGTTGTGCTTCAATACCACATAAGCCGCTGGTACTCATCTTACATTCTTCTTTTTATTCTGGGAGCCAGGTAAAAAATTTTTTTTTAATCTGCCGTTATATGGATTTCAAGCTATATTCACTATGCAAGCAGGCAAGCTTCATAGCAACTGAATTACTGCTAACTTCCATATTTGTTAACCTATCCGTAAATAATTTGTTTCATTGTGACCTCTGTGTGTTTTCAATACCACGATTACAATTATAGAACTAATCATAAATTTGAAGGAAATACATAAATCATTACCTACCACACAATTTGGTTCTATTTCCTTGATCACGTCTGGTCCTACCATCCTCAAATCTTTAACCCCATTCTTCAGACCTCGATCCATTAGCACTTCAAGTCTGGGCACCTCTTCCGGGCTTGTGGCCACAATAAGCTTCAACATAAACATAAAGGTCAAGTCAAGATGACAAGCTTCACCACATTGGGTGTACACTCTATGGCTCAGTCTCTCTCTCTCTCTCTCTCTCTCTCTCTCTCTCTCTCTCTCTCTCTCTCTCTCTCTCTCTCTCTCTCCGCAGAATGGCTAGCTGACTGGGCTTGTGGCCACAATAAGCTTCAACATAAACATAAAGGTCAAGTCAAGATGACAAGTTTCACCGCACTGGGTGTACACTCTATGGCTCAGTCTCTCTCTCTCTCTCTCTCTCTCTCTCTCTCTCTCTCTCTCTCTCTCTCTCTCTCTCTCTCTCTCTCTCTGCAGAATGGCTAGTTGACTACTAAGAGTGTTGAACATAGCATGAACTCTGTAGCTCCAGTGACGATCCTCAGGGATGTGCATAAAAGCTGCACACATGAATCAAACATGGGTCCGTGAAATGAACCCATGATCTTTAAAGTGCGAGGCAAACGAAATATAAATAAAAGAATTTTATCATTAAGTGAGCTACACTGCAAATCTGTCAAGCATCTGGCTCGGTAAATCTGATTTTGACTGTTGTTCTTTCTGGCCAAAAAAATCTGCCTTAATATTTCATATTCAAGCAGTTCTAGAGTACATGTTCTGCTGTTTGTGGCAGCTTTCCACAGGTGCACATGGCTGATATGCCTATCTTGAATTTTGTGTACTTCTGGTTGCATAATTAGTTGTGCCCGGTTCGGAGGTGAGGATAATGACTTTTAAAATGCAAGGACTAACTGTTATCAGAATTTTAAAAATTGCCTTAACCAAAAACAGTAATCCTGCCTATCTGCCATACTGACTGGAAGTCAACCATTTAATCTGTATAACATAGGAGACCATCCCAGTAGCTCACCTACCAATGTCATGGCTCTTAGGGTTATTGGAATGCACAAGCCTCTCTACTACTTCAAGGAGTTGCATTTTAAAACAATGAATCAAACTGTATCTAGTAGCTATCGGTGTATTCTTTCTCTGGCTTAACATTTTAAAACAATAAATCAAATTGTGCCCCTGGAAGCACCTATAAACCTTTTGTTTTTTCATTTTCAAACAAAAAATCAAACTGTATCTAGATGTTTTTGTTTTTTCTTTTCAAACAATGAAACAAACTGTACTTGGCTCATATCCATATTTTCTTTATTTGGTTTTGGTTTGTAAAGCATCTTCTTCTGCTTTACGTACTCTTTTACCGCTTAACGTGTCGAGGGAGACATAAGGTCCTGCTTCGTGCTCTTCTGGCTTCTTCGACCATAGACATATCATGGTGCTGTAGAGATTCTATGAAGTTATCTTCCCATCTTGGTCGACCTCTTGCTCTATGTCCCTCTCCTCTTTTGATATATGCCTTGTATGGTATATCATCAGGAGGCATTCCTCCATTTGTAAAGTATCATATTCATAATACAATTATACTCCCACAAATCCTCTAGTCTCCTCCTTCAAATGTTAAAGGTTTCAATCAAAAGTGAGAAAATAAACATTATAGCCCATGCCTCAAGGCTAGATCTCTCACTGCAGAGTGACTGATTACCTGACACAAGTATTGCACACAAGATGAACCTCATAGCTCCAGCAATAGCCACTCAGAGATTGACAGAAAGTTGCACAAACAACTGCAATCAATTAGGTGCCATCTCCACAATGAAGGTTTGCTGCAATGGGTTTCCAACATGTCTTTCTTTCACTTTGGATATACACTCTCATACTGTCATCTGTACATCTCTTAATGCTGTCCTCCCACTTGTAACACTGTCTACTTCTGGCTAGCTTGTCTTCAACTTATCCCTCCAGTATGGTTTTGTGTTGTGTTATCTATTATTAAAGAAGAAATATCGAATTGTCTTTTTTTTTCTTCTTAAATTTCTTTCAGCAACTTTTATTTCATTCATAGCTTCTTCTGAACATTTGTATCTGACTGTTCTGTTTCCATGAAAAAGACCTACTTTTATCAACTGAATGTGGTCTGAACATGAACCCAAGACCTTCAGAGCCCTTCCTTTCACAGAATACAGGAGGACCTCATCAGAGTAAACAAACAGTGAACAAAAAGTGTAGCTTGTCACATTTGGCCCTCCCATAATATCACCAGAATCACAGATATGCTTAGGGTTCTTATTTCATCCTATACATTTGGCTAAGCCAACCAGGTATTTATCACTTTGCCTTCCCCTTGCTCTCTTTTCATAAATCTTGCCATTTGTTCCCAAGTTCTCAAGTCTATTCCTTCTCATAACATGTCCAAAAAACATCTGCCATTTGAAGGTTTGTAGGTTGTGAAATGGTGACTATTCTTGGCATTTTGAAAATAAGTAGTTTGCCACTGCTTTCCTTGCTACTCTACTCACTCATCAGAACTGTCTAGGTCAAGCACCTTGCTGTAAATTCCTTGTACACTTTCTTCCTTCTTCTTTTTCTACTCCTCCTGTTACCTTTCATCTCTCAATGAAGAACAGGTCCCCAACCAAGACAGGTCAAGCCTTTGCTAGACTTTGTTCAACACTGGTTTTTGCAGTGAAAGTATCAAAGAGATGAGACACAATTAAACAGAGAACCCAAAAAAATAACACTTAGCACATTACACACCTTGCCACACTTCTTGTATGGTATATTGTGCTTATCACAGTAGTTGTAAGTCATCTCCAGCCCCTTGACACAAAGTTTAGCCCTCAATGAACCTGGCACATAGTAGATCCCTGCGTGGATCACTCCACTGTTGTGTCCACTTTGATGGACAGCTGCAAACAGAGTGTACACAGAAAACATTTCAAATGAGAGTATCTTTCACTTCTATTATAGATAAATATAAAGTGCTGCAATAAATCAGCTACGATCAGCGTCTGCTCTACAATAAGGGGAGTAGACTGCAAGAACATTTGAACAGGCCAAGTTCAACATGCAGAAGGTCTAACATACAAATAAATACTACTTAAGCTGAAGTAATGCAGGTGAGCAGAATTCCTAGTCCGCTACATATGGAATGCTACTTGTCTGAAACCATGTGAAGAAATTAAATAAATAGGAAGTATATTCCCGAAGGCGGGGAAAAAGATTGGGAAACTGAATACCAATGAGCCAGTGCACTTAAATATCAACTGACCCCATTATTAAGACATCCAAACATAAGTATGAGCGAAAAGAAAAAGATTATAAACAGCACATTCATTCCAACACTGTGCTACCAGTGCCAGACTTGGACATTTCAAAGGCTAACCTACATGAAATTAACACCTGCAAAATTAGATGCATGAGAAAAGCCGCCGACTTAACCATCCGAGACAAAGTTAGAAATTATATTATCAGACAGACTGTAGGAACAACACCATGCAGCAAATTCAGTGAGAAACTGAAGATCAAATGGTTTGGTCATTTAGTAAGAATGCAGCCAGAACAACAACCAACGCAGGCACTACACATGAAATGATCTAAAGTGAAAGCAAGAGGCCGCCCTAGGAGATAAGAACTGATGACATTAAAGAGCTTTTACATCAACACGAAATGACAAAAGCCAATCCTGCGCATCAAGCACTGGGTCGCAAACTACTCCTTCCCACAACGCTTAACGGCAGAAGTGGAAATTCAAAGCAATGTTTCCCCGATGTGAATTTGAACAAAGAAGACACAAACAATAGACTGCACAATTTATTGCCTGGCATATTTCGCTGTATCTCGTCAGGTGCATACTACAGTAACAAGTGAATAAATGAAGCAAATAGCTGAATCCTAAAAACTGAAACACAAATTCGAGTACATTCTACACTGTCTGTTTCACCAAGGTAACCTTAAGGAAACTACCATTTCTTTCTGCCTATAGAGATCCGGTTTTAACCGGTGGATCGCGGACGCTTCCGCGTCAACCGTAGATTACTCAGATACGCGGAAGCGTCCGCGATCCACCGGTTAAAACCGGATCTCTGTAGGCAGAAAGAAATGGTAGTTTCCTTAAGGTTACCTTGGTGAAACAGACAGTGTAGAATGTACTCGAATTTGTGTTTCAGTTTTTAGGATTCAGCTATTTGCTTCATTTATTCACTTGTTACTGTAGTATGCACCTGACGAGATACAGCGAAATATGCCAGGCAATAAATTGTGCAGTCTATTGGAAGTGGAAATTGACAATGATGATGATGATAAAGTTCTGCAAGAGAGAGGTGGCTAGAAAGCTGGAGTCTGGGTGTCTTTGGTTTAAATCCCCTTCAAAGTGAGAATATCTGTCATTTACCTGGACTCTTTGGCTGATCCGTGTTCAAAAACTCAAAACCTCAAACCTCCTTCTCATCACATAACCAAAGAATGTAGATTGTATCTTTCTGATGTGGGCAACCTACTTTTCTTCATGAGTCAGTTTCTTTCAAGACATCCTCATTACTCCTATGTTTTTGTAAAATAAAATAAAACAAAGTAGACTGTTGTCAAACCCTAGAGGCCACTGACATTGCATGTATGTTGTTGAAAACAGGATACAGGAAAGACACAAGCACAGAGGACGTTAGCCCAGGTGACAGTATGCCCAAACGTCAGTGCGCGCTTGTCAGATGTAGATTTTCCATGGACTTCTTAGTCCCTAGTCCTGGGTGTAAAACACTCATGAGATTTTATTCACATTCTCCCTCTGGGCATTCTTACTCTTCTGCCCTGTTTCCCCACTGGAGCTCAGGCCATCAACCAACTTGTGAAAAGTTGTCTTATTTTTTATGACAGTATGCTTCTTCTTTTTCAGAGATCAACTATGCCTCTATTCCCAAATGGATCATAAACTGAAGGGTGTGCATTAGTGTCCCAACATTTATCTTGTAGAGATGTTCCTGTGGGCCAGATTTCTTCTCTGACTGGCAACGTCTGGGTAATCCTGTAAGACATGCACTAGAGTTTGCTCTGGTGAACCACAACAAGATACAGCAGAGATAAAAACACCCATTTGATATAGGTGTATTCTTACAGTTTCCGGTTCTGAGTCTACAAATGTTGACCTGGGCAATTTTATACTGGCATGCTCTGGTCTGTAATTTGTATTCTTCTCTAACAGCATACATGTCATAACTTGTTCACCCTATGTCCTTACAACCTTACTGACCTTAAACTCAAATTCTCTCTCCATGTTTCTTATTGGCCTCTATTTATTACTCCAGGTATTACAAAGATGAAATTATTTCAGATAAATGTCAAAATTATAAACCAGATCAGGAGCTAACAAATAAATGGGAAATTCACTATTCATCTTCCTGTGTGGATTCTAGGGCCCATGGGGGATGGGGAAGAGGGATTTACGAAGTGGGGGAAGGAAAGTGAGGAAATACATCCACTGCCTCTATAACAAGCATGTCATAAAAGGCAACTAGTTAGAGGTGTTTTCTTTAAAATCAGAGTGCATCTGCCTGAGAGGCGAGGAACCAACTGTCTGCATACATGTAAATCAGCTCTGTCAACACGGGTGTGCACACAAAACTCCAGTTCTGGAACAAGACTAAAGTCCTGAAGTGGATGAACAACCTGAACTTTTGGCTGGAGTTTACAGCCAGTGAAGAAGAAGAGGAAGACAGCTCATTAAATATACACAACTTACCAAGTGTTGGTTCCTTCTCCAGAACAGCTATTTTCAGATTTGGGTGCCTAGTGATCAGTTCTTGAGCTGTTGCCATGCCAACAATCCCACCTCCAACAATGACAAGGTCATAGTGATTCTGCTTTCCATCTCTGTTAATGCACGGAAAACCACAACAGAATGAATGCAGCAAAACAACTGTTAATCAGAAAATAACGACTAATTTAGCTGAGTATCAGCAGAGGTACTGAATTATTTACAGCATTGTAGGGAAAACACAGGCAGACTTTTAATCAGGTTGTTACTGTCACTTCAGCATGAGAACTCTTCGTTGGTTCTTAGGAAGGAAACAGAGCACGTGTGGGATTGTTCCGAGTGCAGTAATGTGAATTCATACATGCATTCATTTCTTTTTCCCTCAAAATGTCCTGTTATCATTAGGTACTACAGTTTTTCTTTCTTCTTATACTGTGTCCAATTTAAAATTAAAATATTTTCATAAATAATAATAAACTACACATACTTACCCACAGAATAGATTAAATTAAATAGTATGACAGATCACTAATGCGGAGTTCTCGAAAAGAACTAAAAAGATTTCAGTTTATCAAGTGGTAAGGAAAATATGCTGGTGTCAACAGGATATGTTAAGAAAATCCAATAAGAATACAACTAGAATATTTTTACAAAGGAACCCACAGGAACAAAGAAACTCAAAGGATAAAAAAAACAAGTAAAATAAGTTAAATAAAATACCAGTGGCACATCAGGCATGTGATGCTAGCCATAGATTTCTAGACCAGTCGACACTCCATGGGTTATGAGTTCAACATCCCGCTGGCCGCTAAAAGGAATACAAGGGAAATCCCAAAAAACAGTGTAAAGTTTGCTCGTTTCACAGGTGTTGATTTTAACTCTTTGAGGCCTGAGGAATGCTGTTTGTGTTGACTGAGAAGTTCTTATTTGCCCAAATCATACAGCCTGCATGTGTCCTGATTCGTATATGCTACGTATTCGTTTATAATGTTCGGAACTATAATTAAAGTATTCAGAGAAGGTTACTATAACATTTTTCTTTGTACACAAGTATTTGTTCACACATGTGAGGGAAATTTATCAGACAGTGAATTTTCTGATTTAGTCTTCGATTGACCATGGATACGAATGTTCTGAACACAAGTAAAGGCCAGGAAATGCGCCTTTCTGTGGCTCAAGCTCTGAAACTGTTTCAGTCAGATGTTTTTTGATTCTGTTAATGACAATAAGAAAATTTTTTAAAAATTATTTGAAAGGTGATTAAGATGGTGAATTTACACCAGTGGAAGCTGAGCGGTCAGCTGTTAGTAAGCCTAGGAGGACGTATTTCATTTGCGAAGGACGTGATAGTCACCCATTGCATCCAAGGATGTTTCAGTACCATACCATGGCTAAGCTGCACTTAAATCATTGAAGCTACAGTCTTATATCACTACAAAGTTAATATTTTGTTTGTATAGGTATTTTGTCATCTTTTTCTTTGAATTTTTTTTCAGCACTCTATGAGAACCTAGAGGCTCTGAGTGATAAACTAGCCCAGAAACGTACCATAACGTTTGCACTGGTTAGGAAATTAAACTAACTTTAAAGTGTTATTCTCAAATTTGGATATTCACTTGTATACTTATGTTGAATGTCTTAATAACAATACCAGGAATCAGACACCAGGGTGAACAAGCGGTAGTGACACGGGTGAGTTGCATCAGGGCAAAGAAATGAAGGACTTGGCGTCGGCTGGCTGAAACCTTTCGGTTTATATAATACTGGGATATAGATGATTAAACACACACACATACACACAAAGGATGAAGAAAGAAAATTGCAACACATGCAAATAACAGAAAGTGGGTTTTAACAGAAACCTACATTATGTGCTACCTAACCACTGATTGTTATTGAGACTTTAATAAATGCTTAGTAGTCTATCTTGTGTCTTATTAGCCCTGAATGGAGCATAGGCCCTCAACCAACTCACTCCAAGTTGTTCTATCTTTTGCTATTGCATGCAGCTCCCTTCTCCATGTGATTTTTGGCTTTCCCTTATTCTTATGCCCCTGTGGGTTCCAGTGCAAAGACATTTTAGTTATATACTGTTCTCCGGTTTTCTCAATGTGTGTCCTATCCAATGCCAGCGTCTTTCCTTCACCTCCTGATCCACTGGAGCTTGCTTAGTTCTCTCTCAAAGTTCTACATTAGTGATTCTATCGTAGTCTATATATAACTAACAGTCTATATTAGTATCGATCGATTATTTATTATTTTAAGGCCGCTATCCAGGTGATTCACACTTAAACAGTTAATAGAAAAGAACATTGAATACAATAAGAACTTATTTGTGGCATTCGTAGACCAGGAGAAGGCATTTGACAGAGTCGACAGACAATTATTATGGAAGATATGGAGTAAGCGAACACCTCATCGAAGTGTGCAAAAGTTTATACAGGGATTGTAGAAGTGTAGAATAAATCAGGGAACATCTTATCCATTCACAGTAACATCTGGAGTAAGACAAGGGTGTGTCTTATCACCACTGCTGTTTATCACCTACATCGACAGTATATGCAAGAATGCCAAGCCCATGAATGAAAATGTTAGTAAGATCAACGAATTACTCTTTGCAGATAACTAGGCCTTGATAGCAGATACAGCCATGAAATTACAACAACATCTAACATCCATGAATGAAAAATGTAAAACAAATAATATGAGAATCAACACTGAAAAGACAGAAGTAATGTCAATAGGAAAAAAGAAGACAGATCAAAACATAGCAATAGAGTGCAAAGGCATTAAACAGGTATCTGAGTTTAAATATCTGGGAACTACACTTACCGAAGATTTGAAATTGGATAAAGAAATTAACATTAGATGCAGTAAAGTAAACCAAGTATTGGGACAGCTAGCCCCCCTCTTACAGCAAAAGACAATCCCAATCAGCACAAAGAGACATCTTATTCAAAGCATATTTATTCCAACTCTGTGCTACCAGTGCCAGACATGGTCACTCACAACAAACCATAAAAGAAAATTAGTAACCACGGAAATGAGATGTCTGAGAAGGGCTGTAGGAGTGACCATAAGAGATAAGATCAGGAATGAGATCATTAGAGAAAAAGTCGGCACAGAACCAATTCTTGATTAGATACGAAGACAGCAAGTGAAATGGTTTGCCCACTTAGAGAGAATGCCTTGTGACACCATACCATACAAAGCATACATGGAAAGAGAAGAAGGACGTAGAGCACGAGGTAGACCAAGAACAAAATGGAAAGATAACATCAGAGAAACTCTACAACAGCACGATGTGCCTATGGTCAAGGCGGCCAGAAGAGCTAGAAACAGAACCTTATATCTATCTCGACACCCACAGCGGTAAAAGAGGAAGTGAAGAAGAAGAAGATCCAGGTGATTTTTTTTAAAGAAAGATAATTAGTTTTAAAATGGAATCGGATCGATCATATTTTAAATGTAATTCTTTACCCAGACGAAATAAGAAACAAAAGTAATGAATGACAACAGTATTACAAAATGTAACACGTAATTCCAAATGCTTTTATGTGGCAAACAGCAGACTCCCGAGGGGCGTGGCGACAGTTAGCATCGATGGTCCAAAAGGTGGGGAAAAAAGGTTTTTTATTTTCAAACAAAAACGACAAGTACAGAAGCAAAATTTGTCAACATTTGATAACAGTTGCAATTTAGTCTTACTTCGCAGTAGCCGTTAAGTTTCGTGTGTTTAGCACACCAGCAATTAATCTGGATTCCCGACTTATACACTGGGAAAGAGTTGTATTCTGCAAGAGATGGGTACACCGACCGCTGATGGCTGCCATGTCGTTGCTGGAAGTGGGTACTTTGGAGTTATCTCCCCCTGCCATCCCGGGGACAAAGTCTATTTGTGAAGTCTGGCTGTATCGTCTTATCTATGAATCATTTAACAGTATACCAGCTTTTTTTTTTTTACACAATCGATAACATATGGAGCTAGACAGACACAGGGACGGACATAGACACAAACAGGCATAGACGGGCGGACGGACGGATGGATAGATAGATAGATAGATAGATAGATAGATAGATAGATAGATAGATAGATAGATAGATAGATAGATAGATAGATAGATAGATAGATAGATAGATAGATAGATAGATAGATAGATAGATAGATAGATAGATAGATAGATAGATAGATAGATAGATAGATAGATGGATAGATGGATAGATGGATGGATGGATGGATGGATGGATGGATGGATGGATGGATGGATGGATGGATGGATGGATGGATGGATGGATGGATGGATGGATGGATGGATGGATGGATGGATGGATGGATGGATGGATGGATGGATAGATAGATAGATAGATAGATAGATAGATAGATAGATAGATAGATAGATAGATAGATAGATAGATAGATAGATAGATAGATAGATAGATAGATAGATAGATAGATAGATAGATAGATAGATAGATAGATAGATAGATAGATAGATAGATAGATAGATAGATAGATAGATAGATAGATAGATAGATAGATAGATAGATAGATAGATAGATAGATAGATAGATAGATAGATAGATAGATAGATAGATGTGAAACAGTCTGTCAATAAATTTATTTATCCTTGTTCCCACTGCATCAAAAAAATGTTTTTTTTTTTTTTGAAAAGTATTAGGTAATGGTGGATCACTGAAAGGTTTCAGGTGTCATGTCATCTATTTACATTAGGGGTTAGAGGGGTCAGCCGGACCTCTTTGGCATATGGTTGTATACATTATATAAAGTTTTTTTTTTTTTAATATGGCAAAAGAACTGGTGTCATGTTATGTTGTTAGGTACCGATGTCTCAGTAGGGGTCAGGTTGTCATGTCAGCTACTTACATGTCAGGGTTTAGGGGTCGCTGGTCACTTTTTGACTATGTATATTATAAATGAAAAATTCGGGTAAATGAAGTGGCTGTCGATTTAGTTTAGGAGACATCTGGGCCTCCGAGACATATGGTGCTATGACTTTATATAGAAGAAAAAATTTTAATGCGTGTAAACGAGGTGGGTGTTATGTCGCGATTTTAGGTGTCGGTGAGGGGTCAAGTTGTCATGTCAACTACTTCC